TCTGCCTTGAAGAAAAATGCCAGCTATAAAAATCTGAGCATTGTCAGTGGGATCAAAACCCTGAACTGCAGCACTGCTGGGCTTCCTGGGCTTTAGCATAAGTTTTAGCACAGAGAAACAAATACAAAAAGTATTGGTGCTCCTAAACTCAGATAGTGTGTTCACAGAAAGTTAGAGTAACTTAAGGGGGCTCAATAACAAAAGAACTTGAGATTCTGTGAAAAAGTAATGCAGTAGAGTAAAAGAAACAATTTTTAATTTTTTTTTTTTTTTTTTTTTTTTTTTTTTTTTTTTTTTTTTTTTTTTTTTTTTTTTGTGAAAGCATAATGTCTTGCAAGAAAGCTGGATATGTCAGTGAGTCCAGGGGAAGAGGCTCCCTGGCTGCTCTGGTAAAAGCCCTTAAACTTTATAGAACCAAACTGGAAGCCTGGAGAAAACCTGCCTCCAGCCTGTTGGTTTTTACATATTCTCTCCATCTGCTCCCAAACCATTTATATTACCTCTTTTTTTCTACTGCCTTTGGGAAGGAGGAAGGATGGAGGGAAGATGGAATAGCAGAACTCAAAAAATTTCCCCTTGAGAAAAATATACTTGGGAAAATCCTGTTTATCTTCATAAGTTACTGGTTAAGACGCCACTGGATGCCACTCCTGCATTTGTTCTTCCTGCACTATCTGAGTTGATAACACAAAGTTGATTTCATTCTCTGTGATTTATTTTAAATTAATATGATACACACACATACACACAAAAAAAAAAAAAAAAAAAGGAAGTAAAAAATTCCTGACACAAAAGGGTCTTTTAGCAATGATGTAAATAATTTCTCAGGTGAAAATCTGACTCTGAAAGCTGGAACATTAAGAAGAATCTGCAATTTCAGGATGTTGGTAATAAACCATAGCTATGTTTATAGGTATGGCAACAGTGAGCTGCTTGGTTTGACTCTCTCCCACAGTGTAAGCTGTTCATAAAAGCACAGTGCAAAGCCAATTCAAACCAGTATCAACTTGTGCTCCTCTGTCAGACATGTGCATTATTTGTTTGTAGAAGGCAAAAATAAGAACATTGCATACACAGTGTTACTTCATGATGCGTACTTCGCAGATGTTAACAATTTATTGTTAATGCTGTGCAGTGCACTCTGTGTACTTTGAATAAAACATTTCAGTCTTTTATAGGCCAGCATGCCCCTACCACAGGTGTGCAATTCCATAGGTAAGCTAATCTGTTCTTAATTATAGTGACTGCCAATACATAGTTATTTTTTTGGAAAACAGGAGAAATTGTTCTAAGGCTTCTTAAAGGCTGCTAAGACTTTGCTAGGACACAGTGTTCAACTGTAAGAGTTGTGGGTGGAGGGAAAGAATTGCTGTACTTAGTGAAGCAACTCAATAACTGAAAATTTGTGATTTTAATTTCAAAGTAATTTACAATGTAGATATGCTTGCAGAAATACCGCTGTTGTTTTTTGATAGAATGCACACATGCCTAAAGTCTTAATTAGATAGGGGAAATGGTCTGCATTCTCTTAGAACAATGTTTAGGTATTTGCATTTGGGTTTTTTTAATAATATTTATTAAATGTCAAAGCAAGTGTGTAGAACAAACATTTAATTTATTTTTGGCTTTAATCAAAGGAAAATGCTGCTTTCACAGATTATGCTTCAGCTTATTTCCACTTCAAGCATTACATTTTTACTGAGGGGGAAAAAAAGAGATGTGATTTCTGAACCTAGATCACAGACCATTGGATAAAACATGCTCCAGCTGACCTTAGTGAGACAGCATCTGCCTAGCACCAGTGCTTAAACTGTTACTTTCTCTTGTTGTTTTCCTCTCTTCATTCTGCCAAGAAGGTGGAGTTTGTGTCAGAAAAAAAGGAGGTGGGGAGAGAAGGCTTTTCAGACACTAAGAAATTGAGTCCCTTCACTGTCTGGAGAATCACATTTCACAATAATTACCTGGGGATGCAGGCTGTTTCCACTTACAGTTTTATTTACGTGTAAGGTTACATGAGTTTCCCCTCACACTCTGCTGCTGCTTTCCATGAGTATCAGGACCTTGATACCCCTCTTGACTGAGGCAGCACTGAAACACAGATTGTCACACTCCTAATTCTTATCAACCCAAGAGATGTAAGAGGTGACAAGCTTAGCAGTTGAACTGGATGATCTTAGAGGTCTTTCCCAACCTTAATGACTCCATGTTTCTACTCTCATGCAAGTCACCTTTGGAAGTGTAGGTACACTCCCTTTGGACAGAGGGACAAAGGCACGGCAAGTGGACCAGAGCCACTACATCCCACCCTCTGCATGGCTGGGCCTCACAGGCAGGACAACAGACATGACCAGTCATCATAATTTTCCAAGAGATTTTTGAAAATCTAAAAGAAATACTGCTCTGGGTCTAGAACTGTATACAGAAGCAGACTGCAGCTGTAAAACATTGCTGGATAAAGAATAAAGCACTAACAAGATAAAATTTATTTATAGAGTAAAATTACTGGCTTCAGTTTGGCCTGGTTTCCAGACAGATACACTGTGGTCAATTGAAGTGCAAAAGCTTTAAGAATTACACTCAGTTTCTATAAAAATAACTTAAAATCCAATCATAACAATGAAAGTGTCTCAGGTTTTCTTTATCTGATTGCTTATACTTGGTTTTATACAGCTGGTTTTTTCTTTCTGCTCTGAGCAGTAGCACTGTCTAAGCACTGATGTCCCAGTGGGGACACCTTGGAAGAAACATCCCCATGGTTAGAGGGGATTCAGCCAAGCTATCTGGCTGTGTTCTGCCACCTTCATCTTGGCCATTTTATCTTTTTTTTCATCTGTAGTATTGGTCATGGTTAGACAGGAGATACATAAGGAACTGTACAGCTTCCATGAACGGCAATACAAATTACATAAAACCACTGCAGTGACATTTATTAGACGATAGAAGAACAGTTACCACACCTTTTCCAGGCATGCAGCTTTCTTGCAGTCATGATATGCCTCTGGATTCTTGCAGGTGCGTTTCAGGACAGCACCACAAACTCCAGAGCTTAGCAGTCATGAGGCAGTTTTTCTTCTCCCCAGTCTTAAAATTCAGTTTCCTTACAGCTCACTGTATCCTCCTGTAAATATGGTAAGTACTCCAGCTAATCCAACAAAGTAGTATGCTACAAATGTTTACACATTGTCAAGTCCTTTAAAGAGGCCTTGAACTAAGCTGTTTATGTGTTTCTTTGTCTTCAAAGTTTTGCAATATACTTTAGCTTTTATTTTGTCTTCTGATATTCATGTTTACCTACCATGCATCCCTCTTGCAAATATTCTTCAATATTAATGTTAGCTTCAGGGTTGAAGGCTGGACACTTTCACTGAGGTGGTGTCAATGAAAATTTAGTTCCTGCTTTGGTGTTCTGCTGTAAACCAGTATTTGTGGCTTCTTGAAAATGCTTCTGACCTTTTACCATTCAAGGACTTCTAGCAACAGTCTGAAGGTTTTGACAGGATCTCCTGCAGTTTTACTATTTGGGTTTTTTATTCAGTATTTGGTAACATTTAAAGTCTGTGTTTCTACAACTCTGCCTACAGAACACCCACTGACACTCTGAAGTTAAAACAAGCTGGTGAGGAATGCACATCATGTCAGGTCTTCGGTGAGTGTGCAAGGGCTTTATACAGATAAGAAAGAGGATGAAAAAATAACATTCAGCATTTCTACATGCTCATGCCAGTACTTCTGAGGCCTGTTTTACTGAGTACGTTATGAATACCAAGCTAGGCATAAATAAAACATGTCTTGTGCTGAAACAAAACATAACTTTCTGAAGAGATAAAAGCTGTTCTGTGATCATTAGCTACTAATTAAAAATGCATTGGGTCAGCAGGAAATGTTTGAATAAAATTTTATTTATTGATTGTGAATGTCTCCACACAAACACAGAACGTATCCTGTTTCGCCTCACCTCCCTAAACTATGATGTCCATCATAATCTACAATGCTGTCTGAATCATCGCTTTTCTTCTTTTGGTGTGTGTGCATTTTGTAATCTTGGTATGGCTAAGCTGAAGTTAGAAGCTGACCAAGTGCTTTCTCCTTCTCTTTGTCTGATAAAATGGATTGCTGGTTGAGTCAGGGTCTTGTTCAGAAAGTAGTTTACACGGGGACCACTGGGCTGCAGTTGCAAGCAACAGCAATAGAAAAGCTGCTATTGCAGAATTATCTTTTGAAGTATTTGGAACAGACTCAAAGCAGCGTGGAGAGGGGATGCGCCTCTTACTGGGTTTTAGTTATTGCTGACAAGGGCATTTTGTTCCCAGTCCTGTGGCTTAAACTTTTTGGTGTTACTGTGGATCTTTTGGTGGAACTGATCGTTCAAACGGATGTCACGATTCTTCTTTATTTCCACATCGTTTTCTTACTAAAACAAACATAAGCAGAGGAAAACAGTGATTTTATTATGACCTCTACTTACTAAGGTCTGCGCATTTCCAATGCCGCAATTCTGGAGTCAGGCATTTCACTTTCCTTTTCCGATTACCTATACATCACGCCAAGTGCTGTCAGTTCAGTGTTTTCCCCGGGGACGGGCACACGCCGCTGCACACAAGCCCGTTCCCAGAGCCCAGGGTGAACGGGCGGCAAATACATGTGCAAACGCCAGCCCAAAACCCACCTCCACGGGCCGGGCCGGGCCGGGCCGAGCCCGGTTGGGTTGGGCCGGGCCGGGCCGGGCCGGGCCGGGCTGTTAATCCCGGCCTCCTGGCGTTTGGCTTTTCCCAATTTTTGGGGTTTTTTTGAGTCCCGCTAGCCCGGCTGGGCTGGGTTGGGCCGGGCCGGGGTGGCCCGGGCAGACTCGCCCCCCGCCGCAGCCCTCGCTGCAGCTCGCCCCGTGGGCCGGGTTATGTAAGCGGCTCGTCCCCGAGCAGCAGCCGCCGCATCTGCGGCGCTCCCGCCCCTGTCCCCGCCCCGCTGCCAGCGCCGGAGAGGCAGGAGGCGGCGGCGGCAGCGCAATAGAGCAAGTTTTGTCTCCGGCGAGGGGCGGCCGGGTCCCACCGCGCTCGGCAGCGCCGGCAGCATGGCCGCGGCGCCCCTGGGGCGGGCAGCAGCCCCCGTAGCGGCGGCAGCGCCCCGCTGAGCTCCCCGGGCAGCGGCAGCGGGAGCGGCCGCCTCCGCCGCCCATCCGGGCCGCCAGCCCGCTCGCCGGAGAGCGGCGGTCCCCCGGCCCGGCCCGGCGCGGCACCATGTGGGGCGGGCTGCACCCCCAGCCCGGCTTGCGCGGCTATAAGGCGGGTAAGAGCGCTAAGGAGGAAAGGGGCTAGGGCGGGGGGGAGGCACAGGGGCCCGCGCCGCTTCCCGTCCCCTCCCCCGGCCGGCCCGGCTCCCTCCCGGCTCCCCGCGGGACCGCCGGAGGAAGCGGCTCTGTCCCCGCCGCGCGCGGGAGGCGGCGCGGCCCCTGCCCCGCGCCCCGCGGCCGGAGGGGGACGTGGCGCCCCGAGGGGGCGCGGGGGCCGGCCCGGTGCCGCTGGCGCCGAATCGGCCCCAGCCGGGGGCTCAGCGTTTCCTTAGCTGGACCTTGAAGCGGATGACAAAAGCTGAGCTTAACCTACATAATCCGTTTCCATGTTTGAGCTTTCTCTTCCATCCCCGATTTATGTCGGTATACCCTTAAGCAGAGTCTGGAAGTGTGCTTCTCTTGTAAATTTCGTTGTAAATTTAGACCGGAAAAAACGGGTCGAGTCCTGTTTTGTTTTGTTTTGTTTGTTTCTTGGTTTTTTTTTTTTTTCCCTTTTCCCTTTGTTTCTCCACCACTTTTCTGTCTCTGGATTAATTAGAATCTAGTTCATGCAGGCTGGCAGGGATGCGTTGAAATGGTAATGCTTGGAGTTAGGTTGTTCCAGGGGAAACACCTCTGTGCAAGCGATGGGCTGACTTCCCCCGTCACGGCTGTCAAACTGGCAGAGCAAAAGCGGTGAATTGGCTGCAGAGCCGTGTGAGCATTGCTTTTGGGCAGGTAAGGCAAGGTACCGGCCCTTTAGGATGCCTTTTTTAGGATTTGAAAATACTACCGTCTGTATCACCTGTCTTGCTCTGGCAGGGCTTCTGCAAATATTTTGTCATGTTTTGATTTATTGAAGCAATTGATCACAAGTGGAGGTCTGTGGTTTGGCTCTGCCATTGCAAGTGCAGAGTGAGTAGTGATGTTGGAGTAATTTCTCTCCTCTAGAAATTTGGATTTATATTTTAATGTTGGGTTCGCAAAAGATGACTGTATAATGTCTATACAGTTAGCTGATGTATTTAAATGGTGAGATTGTTTTGCTTATGACGGACAGGGGTTTTTTTTGCAAATACAAGAGCTGCTAAGATATTCTCAGCAGCTGCCTGAATCTCTACAAGTAGGCTAATGTTCATCCCTATAAGATGAAAGAAGGCATTGTTCTTTTTTTCTGTACTGTGATTAAGTTATGAATTTCTGTGTATAATACGTTTGCCTTGTTGAAGCATTTTAAGAAATTATTTAGTGCTTCCTGCAGAAGAATGGAGTTACATTATCTTTGTACTACAGCTTGCAAAGATAGTGGGTATTCTGAACAATAGGTGTGGAGATTTCAGTTAATTTAATGGAAGCTGCAGGAATTTAGGGTGTTCCAGTTCTTGATTATTGTCTTTGGGACAGGAATATTAAAAGGTTATGTCATCACCATATACTCTGACACTAACCGTTACAAAGGTTGTTGGTGTTCATTTTTCACTTGTTTCAGAAAACTTTAGATTGTGACATTTGATACATTGTTTTCCCTTTTGTTTGGGGTCAAATAAAGTGTTTTAATATTGCGTTGAATTAATCAGCAATTCCAGTGAATTATTGGATTAATGTTTTGCTTTGCATGTTTGTCAGAATTGTGTGTAAGACTGGAGAACAAATTATGTGTATTGCTTCTACTTCCTCCTCCATCCCTTCTTTTCTTTTGAACTTGTGTTAACCCTGAGTGTTTAAATGTATGTGTCTCTCTAAGCAGTAGAGGTGTAAAGTAGCAAAACTGGTAGAAAAAAGATCTAATTTGAGATAACTGACAGAAAGTGCTGGTTAATTAGAAGGCAAGAAGGTAGGTTTAACCTTGAGGGATGATGTCTGCATTATAATTTCCAACTGAGGAGTGCCCTCCTTCGTCTCTCCTACTGGGAAACAGTTGAGAAGTTGTTTTGTGTGGTTTATAATGTGTCTGAAGATGTGGAAGTTATTGAGCTCCATGCAGGTATTTTTATTGAAGGAATGACAGCTACTAAGCTCCTATGCTATTGTTACTGCCATGTTAGGTGTTTTTATTTCTTTGTAAGGAAGCTGTTCATGGGAAAAGTGTTTTGTAGCAGAACAGCAGTGTCCTACTAGGAAGCAGGAGTTCAGGCACTTATTTCTTAAGCTGAAGGAACCTTTCTTCTGCCAAGATATGTTTAATTCTTCAATGGCAATTACTTGATGTAGATTCCAGTTGGTGTGGGAGTATAACAGTTAATGACTCGATAATTCTTGGTAAACATATTTTTATAGTGAAAAGTCTTTGGTTTTGCTAGTTGGACTCAGTTATCTATGGATATAGGTATTTAAAATCTTACTTTTTGAAAATCACTGAAAATCATACAGTTGAAAACCATATAATTCCCTTACAAAGCTAGATGCTTACTGAGTTATAGTATTTACACAGGGGAATTACCAGTTTTTTAGTAATAGATGCAAATTAATTCTGGTTATCTTAAAATGTAACAAGCAAGGACACTTTTGGAGCATATTTAATTTGTGACCTTCAGTTTTACTCTTTCTTCTCATTTCCACATGGTACTTGCTTTTTGGTTCAATAGGAGTGCCTTCTCTGAAAAAAAAAATTGCCGTCTTGTTTGTATCCTGCTGAGAATTTTTTTTTTAGATAGGTGTTTCTTGTATAATCAGTGAATTTAATGACACAGTTTGCTGCTCATGCAAAATAATTTCAGCTCCTTACAGTCTCAGTGCCTGTCCTAAAAAATTAAATTGCTGAAAAATTAAATTTGAAATGTGTATGATTGACTCAAGTCTTTCAGTCTTCTTATACATGTGACTGTTTATGAAACCCTTGCAGCATAGTTTGTACCTCTGTAAAGACAGCAGTTACTCATGTGCTGTAGAAATTTAGCTGCAGTGAAGGGCATACAGCATTTTAATCCCTTTGCTTATTTATCTAGACCAGCCTTTGAAAGGCACATTTGGTTAATAACTCTTTTAAGACTATGAAAGTGCTCGTCATAGATGTGGTTGGGCCATGTGTGTCCAACAGATGCCTGTGGAAAGTGAAAGAAGCACTCTGAAATGAAGTAACACATATTTATTACTTTAGTAAACTGTGCCACCTCTAGTCAAGCTTCTTTCCACTGTCCATTATTGCCTGTTGGTAATGTTGGACATCAAAAGGATTTTATTGACACTCTCTAAAAATAGTAGCCTGCACCTCTCTGCTCCTGGAGCCCTGGCAGTGTGATTTGCCCTGTGTTCCTTACTTGAGCCTCACTGGCAGTGTGACATGTGGGTCTGAAAGATAATTTAATGATGTCACAAGCAAAGTGGCAGCAGCAATAAGGTCCCACACATTGGAAAGCCCGTGTGACACTGCTTTCTTGGGGTACATGTGGGCTTCAAAGACAGCTTCCTAACTCAGCCAGGATGCGGAGGATAGGGCTGATGACACTCGTTTTCATCCTTTGAGGTGGAGGAAGGTACAGAAGTCCAGTGGTTTTGTTTCTGTAACAAGTTTTCTTGCTCTGCTATTGGAGATGTGCAGCCAGGGATGGTGCAGCTTTGGAAGTATCTTGAAAAGGCAGATTTATCTTTACAGGCTAGGCAAGGCAATAAATGGTGAGTTAGTTCAAGAGTAGATTTCAAATTGGTTACCAGTAATAAGTGCATAAATGTTTGTATGTGGTGTATTGCAAAGGTTGTTCACCCAGACTGAAAGATGTAATGTTCCAGCTGCAAGACTGGCTGCTAGAATGGCCTCTGCTTTCACAGATTGCTGTGGGGTCAAATGACATTCTGTGTTTGAGTGATGGTGAACAGGATCTACTTAGTTCCCTTCAAAAACAATGCTTTCATATTTTCCTCCCTCCGGGCAACTCACTTTTATGGATATAGCACTCTTTTAATATATGCGGAACACTTATGTCTTAACTGCTTGGCAAGACACTTTTATATTTTCCTCCCTCCAGGCAACTCACTTTTATGGATATAGCATCCACTCTTTTAATATATGCGGAACACTTATGTCTTAACTGCTTGGCAAGAGAAGAATGATGGATGTAAGGGTTTATTATAGTGTTGGATTTGGAGGTTAGCAGTTATTCTCATCTCCTGTATGTTACACTTTAACTGACTGAATATAGACTTGTGATTGCAGTAATTCTTTGCTTTTAAAATTTTAATTAAAGGAAGTTGTTATTACTTGAGTAATTTTGAGAAGAATGCATTTGTTTTAAGGAGTTTTACAGAATAAATATGTAGTAGAAAGCAGCCTGAGCCTTTCTGTCTGCCCTAGTGGGAGGTGGTGAAGGAAGCGCTAGTAGGAAAACAGCACCCGTAGATTCTCCAAATAATGTCTAGAATGTATGTCAATCAGATAATTGATTCTTACAGTGCAAAATTATTTATGCTAAGATTTTAGCCGGGCACTTAATAAAATAAGTGCCCGGCTAAAATCTTAAAGAACCCATGTATTTCAAAATATGATGCATGGTGGTAAGAACAGCTGAAAGCCTCCTAAATTGCATGACTTGAGGTTGTAGCCAGAGGTGATCATCTACCATTGTTAAAAGCAAAGCTTGTTTGCTGTAGACAAGTTAGTTAAGGAGAAGAGAGATAGTACTATTCTTGTTCAATATCAACCGCTCTGTCTTCTGTACTCTTTGGATGCTTGTTTTTAACATACAGCTTGCCTGTGGTTTAGAAGTTAGAGAGTTAAACTAATTGTCATTTCCTGTGCTGGTGGTTCTTTGGCTGAAAAAGTGCTGACTTGCTTGTAGTTGTCAGTAGTCTCTTGGGTGGCCAAATGTGTCTTAGAATTTTGTACACTGACAATGAAACAGTCTCATTGTGGTTGTGATTAGCCTTAAAACACATTCAGGCGTATTCACTGTGATTCAAAAAGTGGCTTTCGTACTGGCTTTTGCCATGGGTTAGCCTTGGCTCAACACTCAGCGGCTTGCTGCACCCAATCCTCAGTGAGACAGGAGAGAAAATAGGATGGAAAAGCTCGTGTTGAGATGAA